TTGAATAAAGAGAGTTTTAAATTATTTCATATTTCCACTGTCTTATAATTAGTTTTCTATAATTGAAAAACTTATAAATATACTAATACATATATATTATAAGTCTTTTATATTGTATTAAATTATACTTTTCGGTAAATTAATTCGGAGTGATGCATTGATTGTTGATAATATGATAATTATTTTTTAATGCCATAGAAAAAAATTCAAACATGTGAATGTGAACTATGGCATTGTAGTATTGTAAAGTAAACTCAATTTAGAAATTGTTTTGTGAGTATTGAAATAAGCTCATTTTAGTAATTGTAATCTGATTGTTTTGATGTATTTGAACAAAAATATCGAATATGAAACTTTATATGAATCTTTACGATTTAAGACCTTCTAAACATTTTGGCAAACCTTAAAAAATGGATGCATGTATGTGCGTGTGAATGTGTGTAATTTGTACGTGTGCATGTTTGGATATAATTTTTCGTCCACGATTTCGCGAACACGGATCAACTGATTTGATTGATTGAAACATTCAATTCTAATGGGGAACTGATTACTTTTTAACATAGACAGGTCCGTAAAAACTTTTTACGGTGTTAAAAGTGTCAAAAATATCAGTTTTGAGAGAACGGAGCGACCGATTTGAATGATTGAAAAAACATATAACTTGTATGAACATATAATAACAATTGGTTAAATTTTTGGAAAAACAGGTCCAGCAATTTTGGAGATAAAGTGAAAAAAATGCGATTTGTGGGTGAACAATGATCATTAGCCATATGCGTATCAAATTATAAAATATTTTATAGAGATTTTAATAATTAGTACAAATTATGTTTACATTTATATGGGTTCCGTACCAATATTTGTATCGTTTAATCGTTAGACTGCAACGCGGCGTTACGCGCTTTTATATTTCGTCTCTAAGACAGCTACTCAGCGCAATATTAAAAAAAAAAACATAATTTTGAAAAAATGATGCATTTAAAAAATCCAGAAATTTGCCTGAAATCACGATGCCATTCACACCTAGTTAATTGAATAATTAAGCAGCTCAACAATCTTGGCACAATCACCATGTCAAGAAAAAGTCATATGTATCAAGTTGATTTCCTTTCATATCTGTTCTGTGATTAGCAGTAAAAATTTAGAAATTAGACCCATAATCAGTTTACAATCGTAATAATGCTTTAGATCTGAATACTTGAAAACGATATCGTAAACTTACGTAGCTGGCATTATGCGTAGCTTAGCATATGCCTCCGGTAACGAACCATGACCCAAGGTGTCGTCTCGGACCGCCAAGTCGTCCGCAGCCATCATTGAAACAACCAGCTCTCGTCTTTCTTCATGGTACCATACTTGCAATTGGGCACGGCCAGATACTTGTTTTTCCCTTGCTATTTGCTCCTGCATAATTCAATTTTAGCATAGGATATATTCGCTTTTGATTGCATAAGATATCAAGTAAATTTTATATAACATTAAAAACTGAAAACTTAGCAGAGTAGAAACACGCATTAATTCATTATATGTATATTAGAAAAATATAATACACAATCTAATAAATAAACACATTTAACCTTAAATACACCATAAAAGTTATCATCCGGACGAAGTTCAAAAGCTTCAAACAAAAGATAGAAATATTAAATAGTTTATTAAAAAATTATTACAAATTTTCTATGACATATCATGTAAATATTTGGAGAAATAGAGTAAAATGCACAAGCATATAAGTAAATCAAAGTGCATAAACATATCATGCTAACCAACATCTAAGAAATGGAAATAAGAATTTCAAACTGCATGCAAATATTGTCATAGATAAATATAAAATATTTTTTACAGTTAAAAAATAACGTATATAAGTAAATATTTAGTGAATATTTATATAATTAATTAGATAGTAATAATATCACAATATTATAAATCAGTCGGACTGTTATTTGAACTAGAACTTCTTGATACTTTGATTATAGTCTGAATAATAATCAAGAGTCGATTAATATATGTTTTAAAAGCGCACGAAACAGGAAGTTTTATTGATTTATTCAGTATAATTATTATATCCTCTTTGTAAAAATAACACAAAATAATTATTGTATTATTTTTACAACTGCAATCGGTTCTTCAACAGCTTCATGTACATGTGTCTGTATAGTACATTGTACATTTAAGCATAACAATTAATATTAAACACAACATTTAACATTTAGAGTAAAAGTTTTAAGATTCAGACATAACAAGACATTCCTCAGAGCTAATATCGTGCCAGCTGGGGACAATGCATCACACGGAAATATAAAGGAAATATTTTAAATATTAATAAAACTTATAGAGCAAAATTGTATTTAATCTGCTTAGTTCTAAGAGGGAAGGGATATTACAAAAAAAAAAACTAATTTAAAAATTAGCAGATCAAACCACAGACAGGGCAGTGTAGACTAAAAGTGCTAATTATCTGAATGCTTTAAAAAATTTAAGCAAGCAAATTTAAAAAAAAAACTAACTTGTTTTGAACATTAAAACCTGAACTGCCAGTAGTGAAGCTCTCAATAAAAACACACACTTGAGCATTATGAGGATAAATGAGGTAAAAATCAAGGTTTTCATATAATAATTTTTGTAACAATGTCATAAATAAACATATAAATATTTTAATATTGTTTATTAGAAGAAAGTTTTAACTATTATCACAAGTACATTAGTGTATAGGCATAGCTGTTGCTGATATATGAAATAATAATATTTCACTTTAAAGTTTATTGTATACTATATTATATAAAGTTTATTAATCGGGCAGCAGTGTCCCATCTGGCTTTGATTTATAAATGAAAATTTATAGAAAAACATAAATATATAGATAGATCAAACTATAGATGAAAAAACACAGATTATAGAAGTAGAAGGAACAACATTTTATATATTCATATAAATATCTAACGATTATAAATATCTAATACATTAATTGATTATACCATCAAACACTTAATAACGTATATATTTGTTGTTTATACTTATTTATTCAATATACTCATATATTACGGATTGTCACAGGCAATTCTTGTATATAGTATATTGAAATACGTAGGTGCGATTTAGCGCACTCATTGCAAATAGTTAAAAGATTACCGGAAGAACAAAAAATGTTTGCATTAATTTAAACCCAAAATGTCATTCATATTTTGTGTAGTTTAATGCAATAAAATAAAATAATAATCTGTATAAAAATATCGAAATATAGAAATGTAGCAGGCATATGCTATATACAAGAACTTCGTATCCTGCTTAACACTTAAACTAGTTTTAACAATTACACCATTATTGATATATTATACTGATAAGTATAATTTTGGTTTCACAAATTTAAGCTATGAAAGGAAGATTTGATCGTCATATGTTGTCGACATTTTTATTCAAGAACAGTCAAGGCAGCGTACAAGTAACTTTAACGCAAGATGAACCAACAATAAGATATATAAAATTATATTAATAATCAAAATTTATTCAACTAGTAATATTTTATTATTGAAATTTTTGCCGAGTACTATTTCTGTTTTTATTGAAAAATTAATACTATAATTATAAATAAAATAATTTTAAATAAGATTGTCCGTTTAGCGAAATACATAAGAAAAAAAAATTAGAGGAATGCAACCAGGTTTCATACCATTATAATTTAGAAAAACTTTATTACCGTTCAACTTAATTAACGCAATCATATTGTATTCATAATCATCTGAAAACATATAAACTTCTTAGCATTATTATACCATGTATATATTAAAGTTACAGTATTCTTAAAATATTTTTTTATTGGAAGAAAAAAGCAAAGACTGTGTGAAAGAATTATTTTGCAATCTCGACACATAATTTTTGCTGAGAAATGTAGCAGGCATATAAAAAATATTAGAAAAAGTTGATATAATAAATTCATACTATAAAAACAAAACTTTCTTGTTTCTAGTTTACTAGAAAATGTATTTGTTTGTTATAGATAAGCAAAACTAATTTCAAATAAAACATTTACCATATCAGTATCCACACTCTTCATAATGTTATTTGAATTATCGAACAAGATAGTTCACACGATCTAAATCAAATGAAAACCTTATTATTAAAACGCATAGAACTCTTTACTTCCAAAGTTCAAATTATTTGATTACTGATATATCATGACAAAATTTAAATTATTTATTATGTTTAAAAAAAATCCCATATTTGGATGCATTCCTCCAAAACATGCTTTTGTAGATTTTTTAGTGGAATTTTATGGAAATGATAAAAATTAGTTTATATGAGAAATAATAATAGGTACAATATAATGATACTAATTTGTGTCAAATAGTTAATTCGATATAATAATCAAAAATAAAAAAAACATAATATACTAAGTTCAAAAAATAAATTTCTATGTTACATGCACTTAACAATGTTACATTTCTAAATATTCTTTACTTATTTTGAACAAATACCCTTTTTTGTTAAAAATAGAATTTGATTGTTCACTTTTACTATACGTAAACATTCTAAATACAAGCTATAAAAAGTAAATCTTCTCAATTACTATAGTATTATAAGAAGTCTTACTAAAATTCGATGAGTATTAATTGAAAAATAAAATTTATTTATAAAATACGCATTTTTTCAATTTCAAAACGGAGCGGTAAAACAAGTTAATAATGAAATCTATCTACTTTATATTATACGTTTCAAAGAAAATAAAAATATAATTACATAAATGACGAAAACAAATGTAGTAATAGATAAGTTCATAGATTCGAAATTTCTTCCCACACTAGATACCATTATTTGTTGAAGAAACCAATAAAAGTATCCTGTGTCAAAATGATTGATTTATTTTAGGCAATATCTTGCCCAAAAATTAACCTATATGCAAATATATATGCAAATAGGTATTATTAATTCATGCTTCATTTCATATGAACTAATTTCAATTTTATATTTAATTATTGTTTCGATTATTCAAAAATAGTCCAGTAATAAGTTTAAACTAAATTAATTATTTCATTGAATTGTTGATTTCAAACTAAAAAGCGATAGTTTGTGAAAGAAATCGAATCTCTGAACATGGAAAAATTAAATTAAATATACAATATAAAAATTCAGTAGAAAACATTCAACGCAGACACAAGATGAATAACTCTATTTATACCGGTGTTTTTGGTAGTTTCCGCCTTGTAGGTGAAGTAGGAGATTTTCCTTCAGTTTCGCTCTCTATAAAAATGAAAACATGCTACAAAAAGCTTAAGTACTAGTTTAATTTCATTATTTAGGTGATTATATATTACAAAAAACTCATGTCATGAAATACGTGTAGTTGTTGCAAGTAAATGTTTTTGCATGCATGAAAGATATAGATCCTTTATCTTTATCCATATATGTATAATATATATATATATATATATATATATATATATATTTATATATATATATACCATCTAATTCAAGTTGGGTTATTTTTTCATACTACTTTCAACATTCATATCATATTTGTTTTAGAAATATATTATTATGAAGATTTATTTAATATTCAAGAACGTTATTATTTATGAACGTAACACTAAAGAAGAGCCAAACCAAGACTCAAAATGTAAGTTATTCTAATAAAGACATTATTCTTCATTAAATTCTTTTTATTATTGGATGTCTGCCCAAAAACATTTCATCGTATATCTTTCACTATCTGCAAAAATCTTACGCTTTCGATAGTATTTCATAATATAAAATTGAAAAATTATAAATATGCTTACATCACAAATATATCTGGAATAAAATTGAGCATCCCGCAAGATTTGATTATTAGCTCGTTGTCATTTGTTTTCAAAATTAACTACACTACACTTGTTCAACTGTTAAGGGGTTAGGAGTACTTGGAATTTTTGAAAAATCGATTTTTGTTTTTTCATTTTCGTTAAATGTAATATCTTGAAAATTTCAAGTTGATCCGATGATTACTTTTTTAGTTATTGGACTTTTACCAACGCGCTGACGCAAGTGGAAAGCTCGATACTTAAACTCAAGATTATTCTCTATTACCTCATGATGTTTTAAAAGCTTTTAAACCAATTTACGACGATCTCAGCAATGATAATTTACTTTCAAGATTTGTAGTTCAAGATTGAATCAATAATCAGTGTGAAAAATATGCCCAAAAACCGTGAATACTAATATTGATTATGATGATTATTCATTAATATTGATTATGAGTACCCAAGGACCTAATTCTGGGTATAATTCCCATTGGTGTGCTAAAAAATTGGATGCTGCACTCGGCCAGAATACTTCGTAGGCAATAGCAAATGAAAATTTTGGAAACTTTTGCAATGAATGATGAACTAATGGCTCAGGAATAGATGACTCGGTTCAAGTAATTCAATAATTCGTATTTCTGTACGTAAATACAATCTGAAACTTTGAACGCGTTTTTCTCAAAACTATGTTTTTTGAACTGGTGGCAACTGTAACTCAAAAACCGCTTAGTAGATTTCAATTAAATTTTAGAGTTTTTAGAATACATCGGGCCTGATCGAAAGATTTTTATTTTTTTCTAAATTTAAATTCTTTAAGACCAATTAACTGTTGATTTTATCCCCAAAAATCTAGATTTTCTTTTTCTGATGCCTCCATTTTGTTAATTTTTGCAAGAAAAGGAAAAGCCCGGGATTATCTATTCATAAAACATTTTTTTATTTGATTGATTTAGATGAATCTCCAAGGAGTTATGACCGTCACCGCCAGGACCGTTTTTTTTAAAACAAGGTCAATAAAAACAGCTATAACTTCGAAAATATTTTTTTTTCTGAAATTTTTGTTACTTCAAGTCAAAACATTGTATAATGATGTCGCATTACTATTTTTGTAAAAAAACATCGTTTAATAACAAAAAAATACTGAAAATTCTCATTTTTTCGTGCCTCTAAGTACCCCTAACCCTAAGTAGCTCTATATTTTGATAAACTCTCGTTTCGTTATTTGCATTTGTTGTAGTTTTATAGTTCATATGCATTGATATTAAGAAGAATTAGTGGTAAATTCTCTTTTTATATATTATTAAAATTAACTGTTGATTAATCTATTATTTATTATTATTAAACTTATCTATTTAAAAATTATGTTTTGTTATATATTATTATATTTTAATCATTGCCTTTGATCAAATGACTATGTTGTGTTATGCTACATACTTTTTACAATAAAAGTCATTATAAACCATGTTGGTTCTTATACCTATTGTTTTTTAACCAATTTTTATGCCTGTCACAACCGTTGTTGGGGTGTCGACAGGTGTGGCACTCGCCTTTTTCTTGCATGATTTGATTACTTGCTTGATTTTGTCTAATAGCTCGTATTCAAGGACAGTATTTTTATGTGGACAAAAGATCAAGTTAACATTTAAATTACTCTCCCCCAGATAACTGGCAAATTCACAAGATTATGACTGATTTAAAAAAACGTGACAGAACCATAACCTTTCTTCCCTACAGCAGGTCGACAAGTACATATATTGATACATTACATGTATGGTCCAATAACCATAGGTAACAGATTTCTGATGCAGATTATGTATCCCTCCGACACTAACAGTGTGAAATAGGTTCTCGTGTACCAAAATCAGCCAACGTTCAGTGGAAGCAAAATCCTAAATTACAGGATAATAGTGCGACTAACTCAGTACACTGTAATAATAGCCACGCTAGGAAATACAAGTGTGACAAAATAATAGATAATATAATACCCAAAGCTTTCCTCTTCTGATAGTGTATATTTTCGATAATAATTTTTAATAATAAGATTACGTACTGAACATAGTAGCACATTCTGCACTAACATGCAAAATAGAATATTGTTGAGAAAGTTTGATTCACAAGAGAATATTCGTATAGCTATTAACTCTACATGTATAGTAATTACATGTATGTTAGACGTTGAAGTAATCTCTCAGGTTTGTAAATTGCGATCTTACGGTAATCAAATGGTAGTTATCGCCCCAGAATTGGGAGACTTACCAAGAGAGACAATAATCCTTATTTAGTTATATTAGCTTTTCCCGGCGTGAGTGTATAATCTACACTGTATATTGCAACATAAAACAGACTAAAGTGCAATTCATAAACATTTCTTATTACTTGAATTTAAGAAAAGAGCAAAATTTTATTGTTTGATAGATTTAGAAATAAATAAATTTAAATCACGAGTGTAATTTAGATAAAGAGTAATTTTAATGTAAAAAATTACAAATTTATTTAGAATTCAATTTTTTCCTTACGATTAATTATACAGTCTTTTAATGTTAACTTGAAGCATATTAAGGCATAAAAAGTAATTAAAAAATCTAATAGTTTCAATCACGATGAGCCAATGTAATAAATATAATTCGAATTAAAAATTGTGTTGACTACTTTTGTGACAACTTTTTTCAAATTCTCTGCTATTAATGACAATGATGTCATTATTTTTGACTGTAGTCATAAAAATTTCATACACGGTTACGGTTCCAAAATTTTAATGAACAAAAGTAATAAAAATTAAACACAATAACCTAAAAATGGTCACAATTTCACCAAAGCTGTAAGTTTTAATTGAAAGCTTATTATTTACCAATAATGTGAAATTTTTAAAAAAAATTTTCAAGATAGTTACAATCAATACTATCAACCCGTTCGGATTGACGTTGAGTTCTGGGACACACTATATATATATATTATTTAAATTAAGCAACTAATCATAACTTCTGCCAAAGCATACGTAGTTTATACGTAATTATAACCAAATTTATGAAAAGTCAGTTTCAAAATTTTCTTTCTGAGCATCAACGGATTTGAAGTTTTTCTTAACTTGGAAATCGTGCGGGTTTACTACAATTTGGACGTTCGTTTAGTTGCTAAAAGTTTTGTATTTCAGTTGAAACTTTGTCTTCTGAAGTTTCGGAATACTTTAATCCTTCACGAGAAATGGATAAAGACTTACAATTGTTTTGTTTAATTTTCATTCTTATACGATAACGGAAGAATTAAGCTACGAAGTGTAATTAAACTAGTCAAGCAAGTATTACAAATTCAAGATGTAATCAACGAAAACAAAATAAATAAATTATATATGTTATGTATATTTTTTACATAGCACCTAGAGATTGTTGACAAAATTTAATATTGTGCTAAAAACTTTTTCGTTGTAATTTGAATTGAATATAAACAGTATCTAAAAATTGATTGAAATACATAAAAACATTATTTTTAATAAAGTGAATAATTCTACTAATTCTAAAGAAACTTTCATTACAATGTCAATCAAATGATTGAAGTAATAGATATCATAAACCTGCAGCGGTTTAACAGTTTAATGAAATATTATTATTAATGATTCCCAATTTATTCGCTGAACCATTTCGGGATGCAAATTAGTTCAGGCTAAGTTATATTTCATTTATTAAATATAAAGCGTTGTGTTTAGAAACTAAACGAGTTTTATTATAGTTTCATAATTTTTTTTACGATATATTCTTAATAAATTCAGAACATTTACTATTTAACTATCGTTAAAATCAATTGCGCAAACTTCATCAACTGTTGATAAAGGTATATTGATCATCTTTTACAAAAGTTGTTATATTTATTTAATTTTATAAAACATATAAAATAAATTAAATAAATATATTTGAATTGAATATATAAAACATCATGTTTCAGACTGAATACAATAAGCATCAAAATACTATTGCCCTTTAGAACGAGATTAAAGAAAATGATAAAAATAATATATTTCATTTTGTTTGCTTATGCTATAAAAATAATACAACTTCCTGCCAAAATATTAGTAATTTAGCGCCATTTATATGTAATCAATGAAAATGTTGAATAACTTAAAACAGTTTTCAATGAATTTTGATGAACCTTTTTTTATTATCAAATTTAAAGCCTCTCGATTTTTATTGCAGCTAGGTTAAAAAAAACAACGTCGATCCAATGACCCCCATCATTGTGCAAACATAACTTCGCTCTTTGCATTGACCACATATTGAGTAAAAGGCTCCCATGACTTGTTCAAAATTACCAATACCAAATATATTATTTATCATGCATTACTTCATAAACAAAAACAATGAGTTCCTCCGACCGTTAACCCACATAACTCTAAAATTATTGTAAAAGTGATTATAATTGGCAAAGATACAGTACTTGTTAAAGGTACACAATGTCGTTTACATTATATAACTA